GAAATAGTGTAGAGAAAATATTTCCTACAATTTCAATCATGAAACCTGATCCAGTTTATTTACCTCTTATATGAGGTAGTGTCTTTTATGTTTAACTGAGGATTCCAAGTGATGATAGTCAGACAATGTCTTCCCCCAAAATAAGAAGTGAGGTTTATTTATGCATTAGTTTGCAACCAGGAGTATGTTGTTATTCGTTTGTGAGAGACATCAACTCAGTTTAAAATGCATACAAATGTGAGGAAAGGTGGATTAGAACATTTGCCATTTTAAAAGTCTTAATTCAATGAGTCTGTTTGTTTTCATCTTGGATAAGTGATGGTGGTGTGTGTGTTGTCATGCTTCAGAATATGTTCTTCTGACCTAACCCAGTTTTCATGAAATAGCCGCTAAATTTACCCATTTGTAGACAAAAGAGCATAAACATTTTGCCCTTTCACTTGGTGAATGCAAAGAGTGTTTCTCCAAAGGCAAGCTGAATATTGACCAGTCTGGAAATTTAAACAGAAACGTTCTCTTCTTATGGATCTTGCATAAATACAATGATGAAATTTGCTTTAGTAGGCTAGTGTCTGAATTGATTTAGACCACTAATGTGATATCCAAGATTTATGTTTGAGTTATCAGATGTTTGCAGATACTGTTTTATTTTGTAGACAATATACAGGAATGTGTTAGATGATGTGTATGAATATCCCATTCTTGAGAAAGACCTGAAAGAATTTCAGAAGATACTTGGGATGCATCGCCGTCAGTAAGTATTGATTATATTTGTGATAAAGTCTCCCTTTTATTTAGAGTGTAATTTATTTTGTTACCATCTTGCTGTAATTCAGTAAAGATATGACGAGTGATGCAAGGAGAATAATTCATTTTTACAGATCATCTCCTCTTTAAACTAAAGAGAGATTATTCAATTTTCTCTGATGTGTGTTGGGCAGTGTATGTGATTCAACAGTCACTTCCATCAGTTTCATTTGGTATTACTTGCAAGCAAAGTAATATGTGGAGAAGCTGGCAAAAATTCCCTCATAAACTGCAGTCTGTAACTTCAGATGGTACTTTCATTCTCATTCTCTCTCTGCAGTCTGCAGTACTGAGAAGCAAATCTCTTTTGTAATAGTCATCTCAAGGTTATTATTTTACTGATAAATATTGTATTTGTAAAATATATTTCCTTGGCATGTTTTTCCAACAAATGGAATTTGTTTTCATCATTTAGTTGTTGGGGAAGTGGAAGAAGTTGTGTCCTTGTGGGTGACCCTGACTGCTTACCTTGAGGGCCTGAGCTGTGTTTGTCTACTGCAGCAGCTTGTGGGCTGGCAGCATTGCTTTCCACTGCATCAGTTGTGCAAGTTGAAGTGTTCTGACTGAGCCAGATACCCTTAGTTTTTCCTAACAGAGCTCTGCAGCCCTTCTGCAGTGATCATTTAGTGTGAAAAACTTGCTGGTGTCTTAAACTTTGTAACAGCTGAAACTTCCTTTTCCTATGCTTTGGCTGGAAAGAATAATTTGGATTTTCCTTTTTGTTTCAGCACTGTAGATGAATATTCACCTCATCGAAAGGTAATGCAAACCTAATCGTTGCTGGTTGCTAGATAACTTATCTCATTTTCTTCCCCTTTGCACACTTCCCTCTCCTATCTTGACTCATTAACTGAAAGTGACTGGTGGCCAAAAACATGACAGGACACATCAGTGAGGTTAGTTTTGCAATGCTGCTTAAGGAACTTTCTCCTGTCAGTGCATCCTGGTTGTCAGCTGTGTGAGCTAACCTGCAGTGGCTGTGACAGTATTAGCATCTTAACAAGATGGTTTGAGATGTCAACATTCAGGAGAGGCCTGGGAGTGTGTCCCCACCAAGCTAGAGGGATGCAGCAACCTGGGCAAACCAGGCATTGACATGGATGTCAAGTAAACAGAGCAAAGGATGGATTTATTGTGACAGGGACAGGGAAAGATAGGAACATGAATCTATTTACTAGAGGGAGAAAGTGCAGCCAGAGAAAGCTGGCATACAGGCTGCTCAGAGGTGAATTGCTGTGCTCGTCAGCTTTAATAAACTGAAGCTGAAGTGTGTAACAAGCTTAAAATGTTACTGCAAAAATGTGGAAGGCAGAACATATGATTGTAGTGAAATTGCTAAATAGGCTGATTAGTATATAGGAAACGTATGTGAGAATAAGTGTAAAAGAAACAGGCTCTGAACATGACTACAGAAAATCTTGAATTGTGCAGGCTGCTTAACCTTGGCATGTCCTGCTTCCTCAGAAATCCCCACCTTGGTCATTATTTAGTAAGGCAACTCCCTGTTTACTGGTCTAAGAAAGGATGGGTAGATTTCCTATACAGAAACCTTTTGACCAAACATATGGGTTGAATGCTGTATTCTGTGAATTACTGCTTTGTAAAAGGCATGTGAAAAAGGGCTTATAAAAGGAATGCAAAAAGTCACTGTTGTCTTTTTTTCTTTCCCATTCTTTCACAGAATAAAACCTTTTTCCATCAGTTCAGTGTAAAGGAGAACTGGCTACAACACAGAGGAACCATGAATGAAACAGAAGAAAGTGAGTATGATCAAAAGAGTGGAGGAAAAACTCAGAAACTATGAAATTGTTTCTCAAGGGCCTCGATGTAAATATTTTTTAACTGACATACAGCTTTTGAGCAAGACCTTAGGTCCACAAAAGCAGAACTATTTGGCTGTGTGAGCTTACCTACCCGCATCCTGCTTTGCAGGGGTTCAACAGTGCTGCAGTATCTTGAGGGGGTTTTGCCCTGTCCTGTTCCTCCAGCAGCCCTGTAGCAGAGCTGTGTGCCTCCCCAGCGTGCTGGCAGCCTGTCCACCAGGCGTTATTTCCGCTCCATTTCATGCTCTCAGTCTCTTGACCTATATCTTTGTTGTGGAAGGTGAATGAATTAGCCTGTCACATGAAATGGGCTGGGATCTGCTAACTCTGGGAATGTGCCTTAGTTCCTTCTCTTCTCAAAAGCATCTCTGTGTGGAGTGCAAGGTGCCACTTCACTTTAATATCAGCCATTTCAAAATGAAATTTCCCTTCATCACTACTAATACTACAACGCAGTGAGGCTGTCACTCTCCTGTAATGCCTGTATGAGGAAGAAGGCAGAGAGGAGAACACCATGTACACGAGCAGGGAACAAGCAGAAGGACCTCCTACCTGGCAGCCTCACCCTTTGACAGTATATCTTCATTTCTTACTGGGAACAAAACTCCGGAAGTTCACTTGAAGTCAGTATATTTTTAGTGCTCATTTGTGGCAGAATAAAAACTGAGCTCCTTCAGTGCCAAGCCTTTCTGCACAGTACGTGCTGCTGATAGATAATCCTCTTTTTGTGCTTCAAATATGGGTGGTTTTGAGGTTTATGTTATCATGGCTGGTTCTAAAAATGTTATTTCCAGATGAGAACCCCCACACTCATTCTTCTTAAACAATTGGACAGAGCTTGTGAGTGACTGGGAAAGAAAGTGTAGTGGCATGAGAGAGGGGACAGACCATGTGACTGTGGGGATGTGAAGGGCAGGACCCCTCAAGGCCAGTCCTGACTGAGTTAAATTGCTTTTGTCTCACTCCTTGAGAGCATGAGCCATGGACTATGATGGGATTGAGGGAAAGAAATGGCAAAAGTGAAGCTGGAGAAGGGAGAGATGGATGCTGAGGGTGGAGATCTAAGCCTGTGTGGTAGAGTGCTGTCTGACCGATGGTGCTTGTGGTGGATGGGTCTGTCCAAGCCACACCATGCCACCTAACCAGAGTAATTTTAACCCTAATGTAAGCATTACCAGGGCAACTTGCAGCCCATGGCCACTTCCTCCCCCTGATATTCTATCCTCCTCACAGAGGAGGTGCACAGGCTCCTGAAAGAGACAGCATGGTCCATCCCAATAGGTACCACAGACAGGACATTGGAAAGATGTGAGAGGGAGAATCAGTATGGTGGTTGTACTCAAGGACCTGACTTGTGGATTGATTTAGTTCAATGTTAAAGTAAGGGTAGATCAATAGCCCATTTATAAATTAACATTGCTGTCATCATCCCTTCCGAAATGACAGAGAGGAGAACATTTCAAACAAATTCACTATAAGCAAGTTGTGTCTCACTCTGCATACGGAATCCAAATATTCCTGTCAGATTTTTAAAAAAATTTAATTTTTCTACCTAGTAATTAATAGTGAGATTGGATGTCTTTGTGTTCATGAGTTGTATTCATCTGAAGAGAGTTTCTGCCATAGGATGAGTGTCTGATTTACTGTCAGCAGAGACAGGTTAAAAAAGAATTATAAAATCAAATTACTTTTTTTCCCTAAAGCTCAATGTTATGTTCCTCCTTCATTCTCTCTTCATTTTGTCTTTACTGCAACAGGAAAAAAAAAAAGTTATTCTCAAGGATAGAGTTTTTAAGAGCTTCTGGCATGGTGGCCATTAATGAAAGTGCCCTGAAGCAATTAAGATTTGTAGAACAAGCAAAGTGCTATTGCTACATACATCTATCAGTAAAAATGCTATTTAAAAAAAATTACAATATTTCTGGAGAAGAAAAGTTTTGTCCTACACTGACATGGTAACAGCCTGTCTACAATAAGAATTGCTAGTGTAGAAGGAAATGAAGAGAGTATGAAACCAAGAGCTGTGACTATTCTGATTAGCAGGTGATGTAGTTTTTGAAATATTTCTGTCAGTCTGCAGCTCTGTTTCTTCCCCTGTAAGTATGGCAGCTGTATTTCAAAGAAATGGCTACAGCAAAAGCAGCAAAATGATGTAAACCTAAAATTCTGGCAAGCAGAGAGAGTGTACATCCCTTTTTGTAGCAAAAAAGTACTACCCGAGCTGACCACAGCATTACTGCTGGGAATCTCTCTCCCAGAGCCAAACCAACTTATGGACCTCAGTGGAAGTGATGAACCCAGGAAATTTCTCCAAACCAGTCCCTTTCATATGTGCTGCAAGTGATTCAGGAAAAGAGTTGTCAGAACTAATAGTGTGGCTGTTTGGACAGCCTCTGCTGGTGCTAAAATAAGTAGCTTCCCCAGGCAGATAAGCTATCAGGAGTGTCTGAATACCTGAGAGTGCTGCTCTTGCAAAGCCTCCTGTTCCAGATGGAAGTCGGGGTCCAAAATAATTTTTGCATATGAAATATACTGAAAGGACAATAATTTACCTGAACTTTAGAGGAAGAAGAAGAGGAAGAGAAAAGATGGTGACAGTTGATTTTGCAAAGAAGACATGCAGTGGTGGTTGTCTGTGACAAATCCTCATGGTAGGAAGTCTTAAGTATGTACTGCTGTGGGATTCTGTGTTTCCATTTGCTTGCTCCTCACATTTCCGAGGGAGAGGAGGTGGAGAGGGGAAAAATGGTGATGCTTATGCTTAGTTTCATGTCCCTGGGTCAGGGTACAGCAACTGCCCTTCCTGCAGCTAGCTGCAGCAGCCAGGCAGCCGAGGCATTGCCTTGGTCGAATCTGCAAGATTGTTCCCTGCTCTGTTCAGGTGTCTCTGCCTAATGCTGAGCATGTCTTTCTTCCTTTGTGCAGTTTTCTGCCGTGTGTATATAACAGAGCACTCCTATGTCAGTGTGAAAGCTCAAGTATCCACTTCAGCTCAGGAGATACTGAAGATTGTGGCAGAAAAGATCCAGTACCCGGAGGAGGAGTTGGCACTGGTGACAGTCGCATTCTCTGGTGGTAAATAACTTCCCTTCATCTGATTACTTACCTTTTAGTGCAGCACGTAGGGGAGGGCTGACATTTTCTGATGCAAGGATGCAGCTGTTCCTGTATGGGCCCACAGCTGGATGACCATGGGAACAATAAGGAGCTGCTTCCCAGAGAGTCGTTTCCATGGCAACAGCTCATTCTTGGGTACTGTGGGATGCAGCATCTCCTGGCTAGGAAGGGAGTGTAAAGGATTTTTAGTCTTCAGCAGTCTTGCAAGGTTTTATTTTTTGTTCCACAGATGAATCTTCTACTTTGGAATTTAAATGAATTTGGAAGGCAATGAGGCATGTTTTGCTTTAAAAATATAGAATGGAATAGCAAACACCATATGTGTGGCTGTTTCCTCATTTATGGCGTGGGTAAAGAATATTCTCCAGCAGAAAGGAGGAAGACATGTATTTTCAGAGTTGGGATACTGAGAGCAATCTCAGCAATATTTTGTAAGCAGTCTTGCTTACAACTGACATCTTTTGTCTATTGTTTTAGTGTTAGGTGTTGAACAGAAGGGCTTATTGTCTTTTTTAAGGAAGACTAGATTGATCATGGAGTGATACTAGGGACCAGCTAAAGCCCCAAGATTTTCTTTGGTGTTTGACAGGTCAGTTTTTTACCTTCTGGAAGCAATTTAACTAGGTGAATATAAATGTGAAGCTGTATCTACAAAAAGGACTAAGTAGAATATCTTGGCCATATTCTCAGATGTCAGTAGTTGGTGTTGATCCCCTGAGAAAAGGATGCACCTTTAGAGTTATAGCACTCATTCTTTGTCAGTCTAGTTAAATGAAAAATACACAAATGCTGGCTTATTCTGCTTATTTACTTCATTCAGAGGTAGGTCATGTTTTTCTCCCCCATTCTGAGCTCAATTAAGTAACCATATTTTTGAGGGCACTGGTGTGAGTGGCAGGGAGATGGTGTCCTGCTCTGGCTGTTGAAAACCTGGAATGGAACAGCTGTGTGGGAGCATTGCACATAGGTGTCCTGGCCAGCTTGGCTACATCATTTGCAGGCATACTCTTTTTACCCTTGTGTGTACCTAAACTTGCCTCCAGCGCATTTCATAGCACTGCAAAATCACTGTGCTGCTTTTGTTTTTCAGGCCTTGTTCTTCTGTTCAAGGGCAGGACAGGTTTTGCTCTGATAACAATAAATCTGATACTAACTGCCTGCTTAGCTAAAGAAAACCAGCCATTCATAAATAATAAAACACACTATTATCTTTAGACCACATTGATTCCCAAGAAAGCCACAGAATAGAAGTAGTTGTTACTTGGCTGTTACCATTGTAACCCCAAAAATGTTATTTAGTCATGTTACTTGAATTAACTGGAAATGGAACAATTTCAGTATCTTTATTCTTATGCATTGTCACTCCTCCTGTGCTGCGACCAATAAACACCAACCTGCCATGCTTTTTTTTGTGTGTGCCCTTTTATTGTTGTTTTTTTTTACTATTTGCATATTTCAGGACCCTTGTTTTCCATCCACTTGGAGGGCAGCAGTATGAGCATTGGAGAACCTGTTTTTATTGTGTTCCAATAATGGATAAGCAAGCTCTTTATTCAAAATCACCTTGAAAAAACTTAATGGTAGTTCAGCGTAAATGTATTTGTGTATTGATGTGAGCAAGGATAAGAGGGAAAACTGTCTGAAATTACATTTGACTCTGACTCCTGGTCCTACTCCTCCCTCATGGGCATTGCAAGGTCCAGGGTAGCTGTCAATGTGCTTGCAGTGGTTTTTGGTCTACCATGTATCAGGTCTCTAGAGGATTATTTGAAGCCTCAGGAAGAGCCAGTTTTCCCAGGGTAGTTTTTAAGCTGTGTTCTGAGTTTTGCTTGATTTTTCTCACACCTTTTTCTAGTGTATCCAAGATTTCCCAGAGCTGAACCAGTACTCTGGAGTGGAGAAAAAAAAGGTCCTTTGTCTTTGCTACTGGTTTGGTGTGTCCTGATCTTTTACACAGTTATTTCCTAAATGAATTACTCTAGGTCTAGAAGAATTACTCTAAATACTGTGTTATAAGGGACTCTTCAGTTCTGCTTCATGGGGTGAATTTCATGGTGTTGAGATCCTTTAAACTTAATTTGAATGGCTGTGGCTACTGATTTCATCTCCACCCCTGGTTTTGTCTGCCAGTGGCACACAACAGCTTAGTCTCTGGAGCCTGAGACACTCTGCTCTAACAAAAGTCACTGCATTTGTGGTAGATACACTGGGTTGAAATGAAATGTTCTATAAGGCATAAAAGGATAGACCAGATGATTTAAGGGTTTCTTTCTGTTCTGTGTGAAGGGCAGGTTGAAAGGACAAGCAGGAAGTTTTTTTGCTTTAGTCCACCAGAGACTTGTAGCCTTTATTGTGCCTGAACAGGGTGGAGATGATGGGTCCCCACTGGCACTGAATTTGATGCTTAGTTACCTTCTAAGAAGTTGATATGGCTTCACAAGTATAATTGTGTCCTTTCTTTCTCGTATACAGCTTTACTCCTGTTCTGCAACTTTTGTTTGCTGTTTTTACAGAAAAACATGAACTGCAACCAAATGACTTGGCTATCTCAAAATCTTTGGAGTCATCCAGTCGCATGTTTGTCTACCGAAAAGATCTGACTGATTCTTTGGTAAGGATCAATACTGTATACTTTCCATTTTTTATTTGTCTGACTCCAAATCAAGAACTAAATATTCCTTTCATAGGGGGTTTTCAATGCAGAGTTTATTTTTTGCTTGCTTAGTAAAGCTTACTGAGCTGCTCTGTACCTAAAAAAAACTTTCATTAAGAACTGTTATTCGACTGAACAGTAATGGAATTTATTCATCAGTTTTAAATAGACCAAAGCTTCTGTACAGCTTAAATCTTTCAATCTACGTCAGCCTGGAAAAGCTGACCTATGTTTGTACAGAAATGGATGGGATGAGGATTATTCAGGGCTCTTGTGAGTATGTGCCCCCCACCCCACCTTGTGCCTCTGCAACACTTAAAAGTGACTGGTACATAATCATACAAAGTGTTGGACAAAGTTCATGGAATTACTACATATAGAAATAGCTGTTGTGTGAGTTCCACCAAAATTACTGGGCATCACTGTCACCCCAGAGTTTTGGCAGCTGCATGGCCAGTCTGTGGCTGGCACATATCACTAGTGGTATGTCCTCTTCCCTTCCTCCTGTCTGTCTGTCTGTCTGTCCTCTTGCTGGGGCTGGGGAGGGGAGCAGGTTGAGAGGCATCAGGTCTCTCTCATAATTTCCTCGCTCTTCAGAAACCAGGATTGCAAGCTCTCTCCTGCCATGATTTCCCAAATCCTCAGTGAGGCAGGCACTCAATGTATTGCTCTTTTGATAGTTTTCTGCTAATTATGTGGATATTTCAAGGAAAGATCTGGGACTATATTGCAGCTGACTTTTACATGTCATCAGTACCTCTAGGATCTGTGCATCCATCCTTGGGATGAGAAATGTCTATTTACATTTTGTTGGATCAATGTGCCCTGAAGAGCTGACATGCTGCTATCATTGTAATCTGTCATCCCCATTATCTCTGGTGTTCAAGCCACCTCAGAACATGTGAATATTAAGGGAAGGTTTCCAGTGCAGACAGGTGACAGCCAACCTAGTTTCATTAGTTATGTAATAAAAATTGCAAAACTTGCTGTAACTGTCAGAAATATAGCACCAAAGTGATGGCTTAACTGTTACAAATAATCTTTCAACTTGGCAGATGGTTCATGTGCCAGGTTTCAGCCTGATGAGGTTAAAAAACCCAAGAGAAATGCAAAAATTTGAAAATCCATGCTAATAATGGAAATGTCGAATGACCCTGAACACCTGCAGTACCACTGCACAGTAATAAACTAAGTAACTTTTATGAACTGGGACCCACAGTGGTTTACTCTTTGATGATTACATTTGAGGCAGATTAATCATAAAATGTATGGGTTTATGTTATTTGTAAAGGTGGATTGGAGGGCAAGTTGTGTGTATTTATTCTAAATCCAATGTGTTTGCAGAATGATTCTTTTATCTTATAATTCAAGAATTTCCTGGTGTCTTAATTCAGATTTTATTTTCTGATAGTTTCAGGGATTCCATTTTCATTACGCTGTCTGCTTGGTCAGTGTTTTATATTCAAGGTTTATTGAAGGAGAAAGAGAGAGTGTGTGAAGGCCTCCCTCTCCAATAGCAAATCATTGATCCTATTGACCCATTTCCCATTTCAAGCTATTTAATAAATAGGTTATAGCTCCTTGATTTTGATTAGTGGGGAAAAAAGCCCTCAGAGTGCACTTAGAGAAGATTACTTACTCAGCTCTGTTTGGTACCTTTTCATTGCGGAACTTTTGGCATTTCCTGAGGACTTTTTTGCTATTCCTTTAGAACCCTTTTGCTGAAAATGAGGAATTACAGCAAAGGTCTGTGAGAATTTTGGGAATCAACACCTGGGATCTTGCCTTAGAACTAACAAACTTTGACTGGAGCCTCTTCAATGCAATTCATGAGGTAAGAAGCACTACATTCACTTCCAGGTATGTTACTCTTATGCAGTGTTTTGCCATTGTAATGCATTTTGGAGCACTGGTATTCCTTGGTGCTTCACTCTCATGACAGCATGATTTGGCAGCGCTCAGTAGTGGTGGCAGGTCCAAGAGATGTGTTGCAATCCTTGATACTGAAAAAAATTGTCAAAGGTTTGTAACTTCCCTGTGTTGGGGCATCTCATGTGCCCTCTCTATACCTTGTGTGTTTTATTGAGAGTTGCCTCAAGGAAGCAAAAGACCATGATTATTCTCAAAAAAACCCTGTGTTAATATATTATATATGCAACAATTCTTATGCACTTGATAGTGTTTCAGTAAATACAGGACTCCACAAATAGTTGTCTTTGATATCTCTTTTTAGCCACAAAAGAATTCACAGTTTCAGCAATTTAGATGGTCACATTACTGTTCTTGTTAGGCTTTGGTGAGATGAAAAATACTGGGTAAGCTTTATTAAATGGGATAATGGCCCACTTCAGGGCCCATTGGGTTGTTTCAATGACTTTGATAGGTTCTGGTGTGAGCTGCTGAGTAAAATATACAGTTAACAGTACAAAATGTCACCTCAGAATATCATTCACTGAAGAGCATGTTGGCTTTCTGAGAAAATGAATGGAAAATTACCTTGCAGATGCTTTTCTTGATTTTTCTTTTCAGGTTCTTTATTCAGGTTAGACACTTTAAATTTGGAACTAGCCAAGTTTGGGGTTTGGGTTTTTTTGCACAGAAATCAAGACCTGCACCTCTGTTGATGAAAGATTGGCTAATATTTGAAGAAGTTTGAATGGAAATTTTTCACATTCTGCAATTGTCTGATATGGTTACTTTTTCACACTGGAAACAGAAGTAATAAAATACAGAACGAGATTGTTTATATATATGTACGAGCCAGAATTGGAATTGCAGGAAATCTTACAAGAAAAGCATATCTTGCAGGACTTCCAGTCCACCTGCATTCTGTAATAAGTCTCTGGAACTTTGCTAAGTCAGAGCTGAATCATTTGTGATTGGCTCATGAATAATGAAAAATTAACCATTTGTGACCAGATCTTGTTTCAAAAACTTCTACGTACTTCTAAATAATTTATAGTTCATTTACATTTAAATAGTTTTTATATTCCTAATAATGTTGTCAATGTCTTCCAGCAAGAGCTGATATACTTCACGTTCAGCAGACAGGGCAGTGCTGAAAACACTGAGAATCTCAGTCTCCTGCTTCAAAGATGCAATGAGGTTCAGCTTTGGGTTGCCACCGAGATACTCCTCTGCAGCCAGCTCTGCAAACGTGTACAGCTAGTCAAAAAGTTCATCAAGATTGCTGCCCAGTAAGTTACTAAAGTTGCAACAAAAGTCCTTGAATTCACATGCTTTATTTAGGGAGAAGTAGGTGCAAAAGCAATGAAAGAAAACTAATTTGTCATCCTGTGTTTTGATAGCATAGTAAGCATACCTGGATAAAAGAGTCTATAAATAACAATAGCAAACACTGGCCAAAAGTACATATGGTGAAGTATATGCTGCTCAAATCTTCCCCAGCTGCTTAGCTGCTGTATCTGCAGTGTTGACTGCAAAATGCCTGATGGTGCAGAGATAGCTCCTTTCTTAGCAGAGATAGCTGGAGGACCATATGACAGAACTATCTGGGCAGCAAAACAGTCTCCAAAGACTACAAGGAAACCAAAAACTCTTATAAGCTTGGAAGTCCTACCTCTAGAGAGGAACCTAACTGCAGTAAGCTGTTGCCCCATGTAATCCTCTCTGGAGGACTCTTATTTGTTGGAGGGGTGGGTTTCTTCATTTATTGGAATTGACAGTCTCTTCTTCCACTGTTACCAAAAAGTACTGGCATTTATTCTGTGCCTTGGAACAGAATACAAATATATACTATGCACAGAACACAGAGCGTTCTTTTGCTCTGTAATCACTTTTATCTTAGTAATCAAGGAAAGGAAGTAATTTAAATATGTGCAGCCATCCTCCTCGCCTCTCTCTCCACTTGGTGGTCTTCTGCAATATTTGAATATGTATGTTCATGGAAAATGTATAATTTGTTCCCTTCATCGACTAGGTTGATTTAATTTGCATGGCACTTGCATATGAAGGACTGTTCTCTGCTGAAGCAGTGCCTTTGGAGAAATTAATTCTAATCTAGTCTAGTGTAACTCATAAATGTGATCTGATTTAGTTTGCAAGTTGCATGGTGTCCAATAGTATGTTCATTTTCTGCCAGACCAGTGGCCAACTTTGGTCCAATTACATCAAAAAATGGTTGGTTCTGTGTGACTTTCTTGCACCACAGTAGCATCAGTTTGCATCCCAGGAAAGGTTTCATGTCCGTCCCATGTGAATAAGGATATATTTGTCATCAGACTAAAATGTTGCTCTATTTGAATTGATTCCACTCTGTTAAGTGAAAAGCCAAAGTTGTAGAGACTAAATACAGTTGTCAGTAAACAGTATACAGGCTCTCCCAGTGCACTGCAACGCACCCATCATTGTAGCACGTCGATGATGAAATAATGGATAGACAAGTAAGTGAGTGTGTAGTTTTCTTGGTATTCTTTTTTTAACCAGAAAAGCAGCTTTCTAAAGAAGACATTATTGTATCTCATTAATTCTGGAGGAGTTGTTGAAAGAGGAACAATTACGGTGGAAGGATGGTGTGCTAAACACAGGACTCTCATCATGAGGCGCAAGTCAAGCAACCCTGCTGTTTTGTTTATGACTAAGTCAAAGAGGTAGTGAGCTGTGAGCAGCTCTGGCTGCTCCCTGTTTTCTGCTCCCAGATTTGGCCAGGAATCTTTGTCTATGACTTTGCTCTTGTCAGAAAAGCACCAGAACTAAGATTTCATGATCAACATCTGTGTGCTTCACTGTTGAGGAATGCCTAGAGAAAATGAAAGACTTTTATACAAGTGTGTCAATACATAAGGAGGAGACAGTTTTTGAAACACAAATACATATGCTTCCATTGATAAGTAATCTGAAAGCAAAAATAAGTGATTCAATAAAGAAAATTAATTAGTGTGTTATTAGAAATTAACATCCTGAGTGGTTACAGAAACAAGTCAACACAGGCTTAGAGTAAATGGATTATAACAGCAGCCTTCTTGCTTCCCAAGCAGTGGTTGGCCGTAAAAGACATACCTCCTCCCTACAGCTTGCTGTGAGAAGTGGGCCCACCCAACAGACAGTTTTTGCAGGCTGTATTGGACACCTTCCTTGCTTTGGAATTAATTGCCTTTGGGAGCTGCCTGACTTTGATGATAAAAGGAGTCTAAGCAACAAAGTTAGGATTAGCTTTAAGACAGCTGAAGTGAAGTGAGAAATGCACCGTCTCAAGATAGTACATAGTGATAAGTGCAGGCTTTATAAAACTTGTAACAAGTGCTGGTGATTTTCCGGGCTAAGGCCTTGGCAAGTACTTTTCCCTGATGATAAATCCCAGTCAAGCCAGTGGATTCATTCGTACTTAAAATCATCTTAAAAGAGGTTTCTCACTCTCACATACAAGTGCACACATATATTTATAGTGGTCTTCAAAAATCTGCTGGAGATTGTTTGAAAAGGACTCAGTATTTCAGGATTTCAAATTTCCTTAGGAACTAGAAAATAGACTATGGTCTGATTGATATAGTAAAATGTCAGAGAATAGAGGTATCAAGCAAATTCTGTAGGGGCCTGTACTGGAACCAGTACTAGCCGCAGCTAGTTTATAGGGATATTTAAATTGAACATTAATCAGGTTTTCAGACAATAAAAATGACGAGGAATTGCAAATGCATTGGAGGATAGAAAAAATTATCTAAGGAGTCTAGTGGCATGTGCAAACAACAGTAGGATAAGATTTAATTTAGATAGGTGCCAAGTAATTCAGCTATGGAATACTAATACTGAGTTGAAGAAATAAATGCATGATTGTAAAAAACAGTACTGTGACAAAGGTCCTTGGGTGATAATAGATGACAAATTAAAAGCAAGGGCAAAATGTGATGCTGTTCCAAATAAAGGATTTGCTGTTTGCTCTATGCTTGCATAAGAGAAAGGTGTAAGAACTTTGAGCCAAAACAGTAATTATGTTTCTCCTTCCCTCCCCACTGTCTCACTGCATGAGAAAGTAGTGAAAGAAAGCAGGAAACACATGAGTTAAAATAAATTACAGAGAATTCAATGAAGTATAATAACAATATGGAAAAGGAGATTGCAGGCCATGACCACAAAGAGAAATTGAAGGAATCAATGATGTACGATTTACAGAAAAGATGAAAAAGAGGATGAAAATATTTATTATATGACAGAATAGAGGTCAAGAAATTATTCTGTATGGTAAAGGACAGCTGGGAGTAACTTGAACATTGAAAAAGGAAAATTACTTTTGACAGCAAAGGGAAAAAAATAACCTGCCAACAACAGAGTTGATGAGACAGTAGAATGTTTGCTAAAAACTTCTTAGAGACCCCATCACCTAGACTGCAGGTGGCTATGAGAGGACATTTAATGAGTTCGTTATGTGGAAGATGATTGTATGTTAGTGCTGAGGACTGAAATGAGACTTAGTAACCTAGGATACTGTGCATTCCATTTTTCTCTGATTCTGAGTACAAAAAAATCATATTTTTGTTCCTCAGCTGTAAAGCCCAAAGAAATCTGAATTCATTCTTTGCTATTGTTATGGGTCTCAACACTGCATCTGTCAGCCGGCTGTCTCAGACCTGGGAGGTAAGACGCATCTTTATATCTTTCAGACCCTGTCAAAATCATTTCTCACAAAGGTTGTATATTGGTGATTTACCTTTTCTTTCTAATTATTGCTTTTTCATGCTGAAATCACACATGGAGTGAGTGTTGGTGGAGAAAATTTTCTGTGACCTGAAAGCTTAGATACACAGCTATTAAAAAAAAGACATGTCCTTTCAGAGTTTTAAATAAGAACAAAGCAAGATCTTACCCTCTTAAAACAAGTCAGGTAAATTATCGTAGCATTTTAAGTAGATGTCAGAATAGAAACTCTTACAAAGGTGGCTCCAAACAAGCCATACCTTATTATGGAATAATTTAATTTGGAAAAAAACAAACCCAAACAACAAAGTAGAAATAAACCCTCTTTAATTCTCCTTTATCAGCTCTTCTGCAGCTGCTCCTCTTGAACAACAAAGTTAGAAAATGGGCCATGAATAAGAAGCAAGAATAATAAAAGTTATTTGCTAAAGAAGCTACCAGTTGCTAGACAAAGCTTGGGTGTGTTTAGAGGAGGATGCCATTGGGATCTGTGTTTATATTGTGGATTTTTTTGTTTCCATCCGAGGGAATATATTGAGTAGTAGTACTGCAAGCTTATTGTATCTGTTGATGAACCAAAAACTGGGAAGGAGTAATTTAGTGTGATGTGGTGAAGCCTTACCCTTCCTACATGCCCCCAACACCACAAATGGGCAGTACTCAAAAAATATCAATCTGCAATACAGAGTGACAGAGAAACACTGTGATCCCCTGCTTTGGAGACACCTGAGCACCAGCTGCTGAAGCGAAATGGCCGTTAGAGACTTACAAACCTATCTAACACTGTCTGGAGTAAAAAACTCTTCCCTTTTAGCTGAAACCATGCGTATGGAAACATACGCATATGTCTGTGGCTTGGACACACAGAAAAACAAGGACAGTGACTGTTTACAGGGACTAAGATAGGCAAGAGTTAAATTTAAATAAGAGGTAAAGTAAACATTTTAGAGAAAGATACATACCTGAAGACGATGATATAGAAACATCTTGTGTGTGCTATTTCTAAAATGCCTCTTGAGGGAACATTTGCCCTGGCCTGCTCTTACAGGTTGCCTTCATCCCACTTCTCTGGGCTTTGGTAGTAGAGGAGAAAGCACTAAGTATTGTATCAAAGGCACCCAGTGGCAATGGTATAGATTTCTCCTGCACAGAGATACAGAACTCTGTTCTGTGCTGAGACCTCTGGAGATCATGTGCTGCCGGTGGACTTCTCTCAGGAAGAGCAGAATATGTTGCTTGTCAGAACAAAGAGTGAATCTGCATATGTATTGTTGTAAATATGACACGTTTCCATGTGTAAAATATTTATGAATTCACATGCTTTCCTTTTTATTATTTGTAAAACTTTATTGCATTGGAAATTTCAATAGCAGAAGGTTATTTGCATTAGTAATGTGACTTCTAAAAAGTAGAGCAATGTTTATAAATTAATGATAATTACTTACACATGTAAATGAAACAACCTAAATTTAAGCAGTCATTTAGACACTAAATTATATTGGCTCTGCACTTGAATTCTTAAACAAGTAATATGCTACCAAGCATACTTTTCTCCCTTTTTTTCTTAATACAATGTTCAGTGTTTTAATAAGCCTAACTTTTCCTGATTGAAGATACGAAAAAATGCAACTACAAATTCATGTTCAGTTATTTTAGCATTTTAATCATACAGCACATCCACTTAATCTAATTGTTCTAAATCTCTTTTCTCTTGCTAGTGGTACTGTGGCTGTCGGGATCTAAGGACACAGACCAGACAGGATTTTACTAAGAGGGGATATCTTTTACTAGACTAACTAGTATGGTTGGAAAAAACAGACAGGCTTTAAGGTCCACACACCATTCTTCAAGTCTGAAATACCAGCAGCAGCATTCAAATTGTAAAGTGATTGAGTATAATGAGGTGAATCCATTAAAGAATCTTAGAGATAAAGGAAGTGGAAGCTTGTGGAATAGAGCAGGTGTTGGCATATGGGGCAAAACAGTAATTTATGCCTGAGCTCCCTTAGAAAGTGTTTCATGCTGTGGGATTAGGAGATACCAGAGGTAATCAGCATGTGCCAGTATTAACCCTGGTCAGCACTGGGGCAGTATACCAAACAGCATGGAGCATGATGCCTGTTAGTTTCTAAAACTCATGGTTTTGAGGAAGATTGATTACCACAAATGACTTAACCTGGCTGTGATCACAGATTCTGAATTCTCAGCTTGGTGTTACAGTTTCTAACTTGATATGGATATTCAGGTAAATGTAGCAGGCATAGAAGCTAAGGATGAAAATAAGAGCAGCTGCTAACAAGTAGTTTCCATAAAAGAAGGATGCAGGTCCCCGAGGTGAGGCTGCAGGTCCCAGTGCCTCACTGGCATTGCACTGAACATCATCTGTAATTAGGGCTCTGGGAGCTGAGGAGCAGAGGTTAACTGCCTGTTGGAACTTTGAGCAGGCACTTCACCCACAGCAATTTCTTGTCAAAAAGTGCCACAGCATTTTTCTGCCTAAATCAATTTTATTTTTTTTCACTTTCCCCTCTCTGTTTTCCCCACTTCAGAAAATTCCTGGGAAGTTCAAGAAACTTTTCACTGAACTTGAAAGTTTGACAGTAAGTACAGTATTGACAGCTGAAGAGCATTGCTTGCTTTACCTGCCTGCCTTCTTCTTAGTTTATTTGGAGTCTGCCTGTTATTGTCTGGAGCTAGAAGCTGTCATGTCAAGTCCATGATTTGCTGAAGGCCACATGGTTCTCCAGAGATCAGAGGTGGTCTCCAAATGTGAAAAAGAAAGAGGCTGTATTCCTGGCAGCTGGAGGAAGGGCAGAGAGAGGCAAATGTAATATTGGTTCCCTAGCATCAATTTGGAAACTGTTCTATTGCTCCGGTAGTTAATCAGCCTTTATCTGAAGCAACGTGCTGCAGATCAGGAGGAAAAGAGGACAGCTCAAGTTTTAAAACACAAATGTCAAAATACGAGACTAAGGGTCTTTATCAGCATTATCAAAGCTGAATAAACAAATGTTTCCTCAGGCTGTCATGGAAGTGGGTGCATGGTGAGATCACTGCCTGGTGCAGGGAACATGAGATCCAGCCTTTAACGGCTGTCAGGCTTCTGTTCTTGGAGTTATAAGTGAATGTGTTTTCAAGATTCTGTGTGAGCTGGTATACAAAAACATTTGTTTATATGGAAAATTGAGATGGTTTTTTTGAATTACCTACATGATGCCACTGAAACATACTCCGTTATTTTCTTTTAAGTTCTCTAGTGTGCTCTATGGATCTTAAAGCAGCTTTTGTTGAGGTTTTTCTTTGTTGCTGTTTCTTGGTGGCGGTTTTTGTTGTGGGTATTTTTAAAAAAGAAATTAATCACCAATACATTCTGGGATAAATTTTGTGCTAAATAGTAGGAGATTTTGCTAATAGAAATTTGTGGGGGAATTACAGAGCAGTCCAAGTGAATTTATTCTGCAGCTTACTCCCATTTTCACAGTCTTCATCTAGAAGAACATAATTGCTTTTGTTCCTTTCACTGTTTGTTTCCTGTTCAGTTTAGCATGTCACTTAGCTTAGAAAACCTTTAGCTACCTTGTTTCCCAAAGAAACCTTTTATATCTAAATCATGTTCAGATCATAAGCCTGTAATGGATTTAGAATTGCTCTTTTTATAGCCTATTGATTTTTCTCTCTATTACTCAAATGGTTTTGTAGGACCCTTCTCTGAATCACAAAGCTTACAGAGATGCATTCAAGAAAATGAAATCTCCGAAAATCCCCTTCATGCCCTTACTTCTGAAAGGTAATGTTAAAGCTTGGCTGCTCTTCATTGTTAATTAAAATAAGTGTAAGGTGATTTTTCCTTCAGTTGGTCTTAAGATAAGTATGTGATAGATATAGTGGTATCTACGAGATAACTCTTGGTCTGGATAATAAACAGCTGCCTATTAAGACAGGGGGAAAATGCCAATACTCACACATGTTTTCAAACTTAATACTGTCCTGTCAGGAGTGGATAGAGGTGTGTGCCATTGCTTTGGCCACATCCTCTTCAGTGGGGAAGTGAGACCCTGCAAGTCCCTGAATGGGCTGAGCAGCTGTGCTATGTGCACCTGCCCCAGTGGCCTCAGTCACTGCTGCTCTGACATGCTTGTTTGGAGATGTCTCCCTGCTTCACCTCCCTGGTGTCACCCTGAAGGCAGAACCTGCCCTGTCTGCCTGTCCTCAGTGGAGGGGATTTTCTAGTCTCTTATCGGTCTTAAAGAAATAAATAAAATACTACTATCTAAAATTATTTTTTTAAAAATCTATTAAAATGAAATACAGCCACTTGCTAATGCAGTGATCTGGGCAGCTAATTAACTGGCAAGTATTTAAAATATTCCATTGTCTTGGAGTCATTAATTATTAATTGCCCTGTCTTTGAACACGGCAAGCTCATTTGTTTATTCCTGTATTCTGAAAGTGCTCTCTTTAGGCTGCTTATCCCAACCTGCTGCTGCTGCTGTGAGTTTAAAATGTTTGAAGGCAGTTCTCCAGATCAGTTGGTGACAGTTCAGGAGCCATCAGACACTTCCCCTCTTTGCACACATCAAAGGAGTTTGCATTAATTCAGGTGGATACAATTATCAGGGCTTCAAAATCTGTATATTGGAAGTGTTCTGGAGTATGTTTTGCCTGCAAACAAAGGCAGCAAACATAAACAACTCTCTTGTAGCAATGGTGTTTGCACAGCACTACAATGTGGTGTATAAGAACATGCATGTAAACAGTGCTCATGTCTTTACCATGTGTTGGAGATAACAAGGAGACTTTGAAATTAAAGCAGTAATTTCCTTCAATACAGGGGTCCATAAGGAGATGCTGCCAAGGTTGGTAATTCCCAAAATCTAGTGCAGTTCAAAGGACTTTATTCTGTATCAAAGATGTTTGTATTAAGGTTATTTCCAAGACCAATAAAACAGGCATAGATAGCATAGAAATCATTAATAACTGAACAAATTACTGTATTTGAACCCAAGAGGAACAAAAGTAGTTTCAAGAAAAAAAAAGAAAATTCTTTAATTATGAAAAATAACTTTAGAGTGCCCTTTTAAAAGTTAATTAAATTTAAATGTGGAGCTCTCACAGCACACAGACACAGCTTTTGAAAATCAGGCAGATTTTTCAAATGTGTAATAAAATACTGTGATATACCCTTACAGCCTAGTTCAGATGCAATTTTCTGCTCCACTGAATTTATCTAGACTCTTAGTTGTTGGCCGCAAAGCAAATTTCTGTTCCTTCTGCCCTCAGAGATATACACATTGCTGTCATTGACTTAAAAAGCTGTGTGGAAATTTCTGCTTCCAGTATAAGTTTTTCATTAGTAGTGATGGACAGTTTTTAACTGCATTGATATAGAGAAAAGCAATGCCTGTGTCCTGAAGTCATGTCCTTTCTCTGTCCCTTTCCCTGGGTGCCCCAAAGCAGCCTAGCAGAGGAGGTGCAGAGGGTCCTGCTCCCTCCTTTCCCCCGATTTTTAGGATGCAGCCCAGGGGCAGCATATGAAGCTGTTAGCATTTCAGTTCCAGGCAGTTACAAAATGTCCTTCAGGCACAGAGTGAGTCTTTGAAACCCGAGGAAGTAAATCAGGTGGGCTGTTTTAAGGCAGGATGAAGTTGTGGGGCAGTGGGGGGCTGTGTGTAAGACAAAGCATCTCCTAGCATCTGCTGCAGGTTTTCAGTCCTAAAATCCCCCAAAACCACAGGGTACATGTGAGCATCAGAGAGAGTCCTAGAGATGAGCAGAGGAGAAATGCTGAGACGCACGGTTAGACTGAAGGACTGGAGGTTGTCATCTCTGCTGAGAGGGAGACATGTCCCGTTTACTGTGTGCCTTTTTCCTGCTGGCAGACACAACTGCAAGAAGTAAGGGTATTGGAGTGCCATCTCATTACAATAGTGCTGTCTCCTCCTGGCACTCCTGGGTACCCACACATCCAGGAGACGGCTGATAGGGCCATGGTGGTGGTGCTTCTGCTAGCATTTTCAGTAACCTGGATAATGCACTGTTGAAGTCAGAGCTTCCATCCCCACAGGGAATCTATTCATGTTCTTGGTACTTAATGTCCAAGGTAGGTCTCACTTCTGACCTAATATGTATTAGAAAAACAGAGAAAATGACCTTAAGTTACTGTTTTAATTGTAATCTTAACTTGGCAGCATTTATCTCGCCTGATATTCCCCTCCTGCAGTTACACTGTGTTCAGTTCTCATCCTGGAGCCAAATATAGACCTTTTCCTTTTCCTCTGACCTTTCTGTTGCCTTTGCAAATTCTCTCCAACAACACTGCATAGAAGTGTTTTTCCCTAGCCATAACGCTGATTTCGAGGCTTTGAACTTCAGTTTAGTGGCTTGTGTTTAACCTCTCTGACTGGCCATTGCTGCAGCCCATGTCTCTGGGGACGACTTCAGAGTCATTGTGTCTCAGAGAGAGATGAAGGGATGTCAGAGCCAGCTCCAGCATTTAGTAGCTTTGCCCTCATGAAGCTCTTGGCTCAGCCTAGGCACAGCCATGTGCTGCACGTCTGGATCTGTGCAACAGGGTGTGGAGAGCAGGCATGCCATGCAGGGCCATCCCTCGGGATGCCCCTCCCCTGCCCCCAACCATCCTCTGTTATGCACCCCAGAAGTTACACAGATCAGGCTTAATAAAGAATCTGTGCTCTCACTTGAAAATACTCTTGTTACAATGTGTATGTAGTGTTGTTATCTAATAATCTCTACATGTCATCATTAGGCCAGGCTTTTATTCCACTATTAGAAGGTATTGTGTCAGTCCTTAATGGGATATTTTCTTTTTGTTTTTATTGATGTTTAGCCATTTAATTTCTTTGTATGAAACAACAAAGCCATGAAAAGTACTTACTTTTCCTTTTTTTTTCCCCAGATGTAACCTTCATCCACGAAGGAAATAAAACGTTTCTGGATAACCTTGTTAATTTTGAAAAACTGGTAAGCTAATTTTGTCCTTCCTGTTTTTCAAAAGATTCACATTCTCTTCTTCCCTTTCCCTTCCTTACCTTGTAAGATGAAAAAGTTTTCTTCTGGCTGAATCCGGAAGAAATAAACAGGGGTAAAAAAGAACAAGCAAGATAAACCAGCCAACATATCTCCTGCCCTTTTCTGCTGTTTCTCTCTCTTCTCACTCTTTTCTCCTCCATTTCTCTGTAAATTGACTAAGCAAGTAATGACCATCATCACTGCCACAAAGTCCACTCCTTTCCTTTACCTAGTGAGATCTATTCCTTTCCACCACCTCATGGACTAATTCTTATCAGTTAAGTTCTCCTGCTTCAGCTTTCTATGAATTATGTTTCCTTTCCTTTTTTTCCCTTAAGGCTTCTCTAGTTTATCACTTAAGAAAAGGTTCCTCTAGTGTATCACCTGACACTGGCATAGTAATTCCAGGGATCTTAAATGAAAGTGAAATTTTTTATTAGGTTAGGTGATGAAGAAGATAATGCCTGAAATATGAATTAAACTGACTATAAATATCACTTTTGCAACTTTTATGCATAATGGCACTTACTGGCATTCTATCTTTGGCCACATTCACTCTAGACATCATATGACGTCTGCTCTGGCATAATATTACTTATAGAGGTTCGATTTCCCTAATATGTATACTTTTTTTTTGCTAATAACATTTTTGTGGCACTGAAAGCCAAAGTCTATATATCTGAATATATATCTGGAGTAAAGAAATTTGGATTTCTTTTTTTTTATTGGCTGTAGTATTTGATCAAGAAACCAAACCTTTTTTCTCAGTTGCTCTAGGTATGCCTTGGGACTGTTAGTTCAGATGGCTGTGCCTGGTGAATTGTTCCCAACTATTTTCTCTGTGTTTTTACATTTGTTTAAGAATGAACATGCCACCATGGAGTTATTCATGAACCTGATGTTGAACTTATTTTCACATCCTGTCATAGTGTACATTGTCTTTCAACTTGCAAGCACTTGTAGACTTTGACTTTTGAACCTGAGCTCCTTTTTTTTTCGGTTTTCTATTTGATTTCTGTACCTTTTCTCGTAGCAGAGTTTACAAGAACACTGATTTGCATTTAATGAAAGGTTTTTTTGTCCCAAGTCCATTAAATGTTTGACCTTTAGGTGTTTGCATAAAACTCATTAGCATGTTCTTCTTCATTGCCTCTTGGAAGTACATCCAATTAACATGTAAATTAAACTAGCCCTTGATGCACAATAATTGTTACTAAAATCCCCCCACTGGCCCATATATTTATTTAGTGAGTATATAGAATCTAATTCTTTTTACAGACTTAGCCAGACTTTGTTTGTTTGGTTGTTGTTTAATCATGTATATATTGAATGTATGGGTAAGAATTCCTGTCCTTTCTGTCACTTGTGTCTCCAGAGGCAGTGGGAGCTTTGCTAATTGACTTCTGTGAGGCAGGATTTCACCTTTTCCATTCAAATGGATAATGGGCGTTTCAAATGGCAGGGGGGAGAGTCTGAGGTGATGGTGGCAGGCTAGGGTTGCTCAGATTGACACTTCCTCCAAATTATTAGTCAGATCACGCTCTGAGAAACATGCTGTCTCATGCAGCCCTGTGTACATATGAATGCAGGCAATAGTGCAAGCTTAGGAAGTAGGGGCTTAGGAGAGATTTAAATATCAGTGTAGTGGAAAATCAGGCAGTACACTGGTATTACACTGGCTGCTTTGGATGTTAAGGTATTTAGTCAATGGGCATGAACTAACAAGATGCATCACGTATTCATCAGTCCATGTTTCTTTTCTAATTATAAGTGCTTTGTCCCAAAGAACAATGTCTTCCTTGGTGTTCTGTAGTGTGCCGAGCACTTTCTGGCCTTAGCTGAGAAAAATTAGGATTGACATTGAGTCCTGCTTGGCTTGAATCAAGCCACTGAACCTCACCTGCAAATTTGTTGTTGCAGAAAAAGAAGAAAAGAATTATTCTACCATAGCAGATTACTGCTTTGGGGAAGGAACTTATTCACTGTCATAAATGAGTAGAATTCCTACTTATGAATTTCAAAGTAAAGGTGGTTTCTTGTGTCTCTATTTGGATCAGTATTTTGAAATATTTCATTTCTGCATTAAACATCTCACCTGAAGGAGCACTTGTCAGTCTGAACCATTGTTGTTTCCAACTATATCAGCTGGTTTAATGAAAGATCTTCTTTCTCCCTACAATCCCTGCTTCGTTTATATTCTTAGACCATCATGACCTCAACAATCCTACCGTGACTGAACTTGATTTGACATGATGTGATTGCAGTGGAGACAGAGTTAATTCGAAATATAAAGAAGGAAATTTGCAAAGGGAAGAAAATGAAATGATCTTTTCTTTCAGGAATGTTACCTAGATTTAGCAAAAGGTGAAGGGATTGCAGTGACTTGTTTAACTCCATTTTGGGTAAAGTCTAGTCTGGAATAGTGTTAGATTGATATTTAGTACCATATCTACTTCCTTAACTAAAACTGAAGGAATAAATGAAAATATGTTCTTATACTGTCACATCTCAAGGTATTTCCATAATTTTTTTCTGAGCTGCTTCACGGAAATGTGGCTTCTTCAGGTTTTGCTCTCCAGTCAGCCATCAGCCACATCTTAGCAATGACATGTCTTAACCACACTCCAGCAAACTCAAATACAGGTCAATGGCCATTACCATTTTCAATAACACCTGCTTACCTCGAGCCTTCAGCTGTAAGGACTGTGTACATGCAGCTGAGGGTTCTTAACCCCCACCCCCTAAATATATCTGTGCATCTCCCAAGCCTGAGTTTTTGCTGTCCTCAGTAAAAGCAGTGCTAATGATCTGAGGTAGCTGGTAGGCTGAAAGGCCTCGAGAAATGTGTAGTTACTCACACTAACAGTATGCAAGCACCTGCTGAAACAGTCAGGAGATAGGATTTGCTTTGCAGATGCATTGGCTGACTTTCTGTTTTACGATTGGATCCCGGAAAGTTGAAAATAGGGAGAATTGCCTAAATTACACTACTAAAGTCAGAGATTTGGGATTCTCCTTGAAGAATTACTCAAAGAGGTTCTTCCTTTACCAAAGCATCACCTCCGGAAGCCAGTCTTCGAATGGACCCTCACACTGACTGAGTACAAAGGAGAAAAACATCAAAGAATTACAATATGTGCAATAGTGGAGTCTCTCTTACTTCTAAAATCCAAATGCAAAGGGCATTGGCTGGAAGACATCACAGTAGCAGCACTGGCAGAAGTTGTAGCTCTCCCGGTACTCACACTATTGATCATGACATCTAAATCATCTCATTAGAACTTCATTATAATCAGTGCAAGGACATCAGCACAAGAGATTGCATGATTTCATGGCAAATGAAGCACAGTGGGTAATAAGAAAAATTATTTTGATTCACTGATGAAAGGAATATGAAGTTTCCATTAAATGTGCTCTTGTGATAAGCTTTTCTGTGGAGGGGCCTTGTAAGCCACTCTCAGGGTGCTGAGAGATGAGCTGTTCTGCATCATTCTGGTCTTAAACATGCTCTGCTCAAGTCAGTTAATCCTTTCCACCTCTGATCATTTTAGAGGGAGATGTGAGAAGAGCTGTTTGCCTGAGCTGTTAGATCATTCCTGCCAAGTGCAGTTTGCTTCAATCAGTTACCACAGAAGCAGTCAAATTAAAAAAGTAATGCCTTAAGAACTTAATGGATAATATCTAGTGAAAATGAGCTCACTTCAGTGATACATAGTGAACAATCCCAGTTTTCATAAGTTGAAGACCTGAGCCTGAATGAGAAAATGAACTTGAACCTTTTATTTCCTCTGCTTAATCTACATGAACATCCAATATCCCTGTTAGCAACAGCTTTTGTTAAAATAGCATACCTACAGGATGGTCTTATTTCGTACGTGTCTGTGGAGATGTCAGGGTGTTTGCTCTCTGCAGCATTTAGGCTATGGGGTCCTTTTTGGTGCTGATAGTACTGCAGAAAACTACCTAGCTGATACTAGGACCTGATTGTGTTAGACATTTTACAAGTGTATGCTAAGGGGTGTAGTCTGTGCCACAGAGAGGCTTACAGCCTAATTAAACAACATGTAGAGACAGAAGGAAAGGTTGCAGACTGCAGAGTACCCTGGATAATGCACTAAAGCTGAGGTTGAACTCCGAAGCACCCACTCAATCCACAGGACTTCCCTGCTGTAGGCTTTCAGTTTAATAAAAGTCATTAGAACAAAATAAGCATTTTCATTATCACTTTCCATGGGCTCTTAGAGAGTTGTTCTCATTTAATCTTTGTGATATCAATAAGACATCTAGACAGACCCTGTTTCATCATATAGTACCACTAAGATAAAGAGCAAAGTTTCTCCTGCTTTCTTCATTTTCTACATTACTACAGTTGCTTTTTTGCTGTACAGTGTAGGCCAAGGAGACTTTTCAGGCTTTTCTAATGACAGAATCTGTCTCAGGTTTTTGCGCTGATGTTTTTGCCTTGTCTTTGCAGCACATGATTGCAGATACTGTTCGGTCATTGAGACATTGCAGAAATAACCAATTTGGTGAGTAGCCAGAATTTTCTACTTGTTTTGCCTTTGTACAGCCTTGAGGGTTTGTTCCTTTGTTTGTTTGTTTTCCCCCTGCTTTCTTTCCAGTTGCTCAGGCTTACTACAGCAGCAAAATCTGGTCAAGAATTATTTAACCACTTGGCTAGAGGGGGCATCATTGTTGGAAGTAGAAACCACATTTCTACAACATAGTAGAAAGCACATTTGGATGAAGATTTACTTCACAAAATGTTTGTAGAAATAGCATCTAAATTTTAATAAATTGTTTTCCTGCAAAAATTACCAGCACTTCAAAACCCTGTGTAAGATCTGTGCCAGCTGCACTTAATAATGGAGGCTTCTGGTGTATGTGGCTGTTTCTCCTTTTCCCAGCTATAACTGAGTTAGCTCAGTCTCTTGCTAGTCTGTGTGTTTTGGTAATGGATTCACAGCTGTCTTGGCTTCCGGTAGCTAGATGATGGTATTCATCACCACAGCATTTCACACAGCTCTTCACCAAGAGCAATTGCTTGCATAGTTTGGGTTCTTAAGGACATTTCACAAAATTGTAGAAGTCTTGAAGGTACAAAGGTCCTGTGGGTTTCATCAAAGTAGCAGAGTAGGAAAAAAATGAGGGGGTTGTGTTAGGGGAACTTGGAATCCCCTGTGCTAGGGGAAGCTGCAAGTAGAGATCTGCCTGCTTTAGACACTGAAGGATCTATGCTGATGCAAACAGTCGTGAGTGCCTCAGCTGCACAGAAGACCTATTTTGGGTTGCTTTTTTTGTTTTGTTTCTGCCTTATTAGCCACCAGAGACTCCAACCCTAAGGGATCATGCCAGAAGACCCCAGCTCACTTTGTTCTGCTGCTCACAGAGGAGAAACCTTGTTTTTTTTCCTTCTCACTGCTTCTTATTCTCTGCATAGAGGTTAAATACAGGAAGGGGACACACATAACACTACTTTAGGAAGTGGTTAGTTTTTAAGCCAAACCCACTAAACATGTCATTTATTGAAGCCACTAAAACCCCTTTTTCAAAGAGAAGTTCAGAACTGTGCTGCAGCCTTGGGGATAATAGAGATTGAATTATTTCTTTTTTTTCCAGCTGAACTTTCAGCAGCTGTCAGCATGGACTCTAACAAAAAGAATGGTAATAATTTTGTCTATAAATCCAGGTACCTTGGAGAATCATAGGTACTTTTAAGAGCTTTGCTGAACATTTGTTCTGTAGAATTACCATGCGTATGTGCAGTCTTATTTTTAAACAAAGACTGCTCAGTATTATGGTTCTTGTGTTATTTTGAGATATATATGAGAGGGAAAGGGAGAGAAGGAGCAAGATGGGCCTTTTGTTTTTATTCAGATACTGAAGCAAACATTGATTATTCCAAACCATGTCTCTATAAGTTAAAATGTCTCTTATTTGGCATTATAAAATGTAGCACTGGTTCCTTTTAATGATGTGAGGGGTTTTTTGCACCTTCTCTGCACATCTTGCATTTTGTTTTTGCCTTTTTTTTATTCCAAGTGGTTTTGTAAGTCTTGCAATATAAATCCAAGGTTAATACCTGAGATTTATCATATAATCTGGTGGTTTGAAGTACGTGATTATTTTATTTTACAACAGACTTGATTTATTGTGAAGCTGGCATTTAAAAAGCAGCTTATACAGACATCCCTGTAGGCACTTTTTTTTTTTCTTAAATTCGTTTAGGCATGAAATGAATTCACTGAATATTTATTGAGACTTTATGGACAGTTTCCTTTTCTAGTGGGCTTATTTTGCTCTCAGGAATGTGAATCTTTCTACTGCATCAATTCCCAGATTGGCCTAAGAGCAGCAGGCATCTCATTGTAGGAAAGAATTCAAACAAAACTAAGCAAGGAATATTATTATTGTTTATGAACTGTATCATGTGTATTAAACTTGCAGGCCAAAGTGTTTCTGGATTAGAAACTGGTTAGGTTCCAAGTAAGACTGAAATGCCTTTTAAATGGAAATAACACGTTTATATCCTAAATCTGGAAAACAAATAAGAGCATTTCCAAAACCAGGCAAAGCAGCCTGAGAAAATAACATAATTCAAGCTTTTGTCATTTTAGGTGTTAATGAGTAATACAAATGTTTTTCAGTATGTTCAGCAGAGCTGCTGGGCTCCTATTCCCTCAGAACTAAAAGGTCACTTCTGTATCCTGACACAGATTTATCACATTGTCCTGTTCTCTCCACATTGCTTAAGTTAGATGGCTGCTCTGAAATAGCTCTTTAAAATAGCTGCCCAAAGAGCTCCATTAACAGCCACATGCAAAACTGGCTGCATTCACATCCCATGTTGCCCACACAGCATCATGTAGCTTCAGAAACAAGTGGGATGGTTGGTTCCTAGAAACCTTCTCATATAGCTGGAGAGCGTGAAGGATGATGATGAGACAAAGGAGAGGGAGGGAGTGTGTGAGTTAAGCAGATTGGTTCAGGCAATTTTGAGAGGTTTTCTTTTTCAATTTATGGTAATACTATTAAAAATTCCTTGAGGACATGGACTAGAATTGAGCTCTCCAACCTTTGCCTATTTGTCAGCAATTAGCAATGTTGCTTTCTCCATCTTTCTTGTTGGATCTCTTGGTCATGGGCTTAGCTTTTCCACTGCCACTTCTGCTGGTACCAGCCGTGCTGGAGGGTTTCACAGGCAGCAGTTCCCACAAGCCCATGTCGGGCAAAAAGCTTGTAACAGAGAACATCTGCTATTCAAGCCACCTTTCAATTTGTCTGTTACACAGCTAATTCCTCTTGCTGTGTAAACTCCCATGAAATGACAGCATGACTCTTGTCTCTGTTACTAGATCAGAAATCAAAAGCATAACAGATCAAAATGCAGGAGCCTGTCAGAGAAGCTTTGAAGAGGTTTCGTATCCATCTGCTGTGCTGTCACCTTTCACTGGCTCTGAAGAAAATCATCCAGGGCCTACTGTCTTGTGAACTTGTGTTAAGATTTTTTAGAAGCTACAGGCTGTGTTGCCCACCCCTGCTCAAGGTCCCATTGTGCTGCCAGAGTGGCACAAAGGAACCCATGAACCACCCTTACAGGGGATGTACTGCCAGCAGGAGTAAATCTTCCCCTTGGGAAGAGTCAGATTCTTGCTGTCCACTTGTCCCTCCGTTATGCATGCTGTCTGCCCAGCATTACTGATTATTTTTTTTTCCTTCCCTTGTCTCTATCTAGCTGTTACCTCATGCTTTGCACTTACACAGCAAATTCTTTGGATTACTGGCTGTCTTTCTTGTGACTGTCTAGCACCTGACGGGTGTCACACCAGTGACTTTGTAACATAGGAAGGAGAAGCAGACAAGGCGTGGCTTTCTGATCCATCCCCTTTCTTCTGTCTTGCAGGCAATGAAGTTCCTTCGAAAGAGCATCATGAGCTGAAGCCATACGTCCATCACCTGCATGTCATCGACAACCAGCAAGCTCTGTTTGAGCTTTCTCACAGGATAGAGCCGCGAGTGTGAGCGTACACAGCTTCATATAACCTTGTAACTGCAGCACTTTGAATTAAGTGAATGTTTATGCCAAGCATGTTGCTTCCCTATATAAGAACGGTTTACTGAGTTTTATCAGTAGCTCACACAACATGCGCAGGAAAATCAGGCAAGAGCCAGCAAAGGAGCTGCTCACAGAGTTGCAGTGCAAGCTTTGGTGCCATTTTTGCTGGTCACCAACACATGAGGGAGTGGAGCAGCATCCTTTGAGCTCAGGAGCTTGGTTTCTGTGAAAATATTGTTTGGTCCAGTGTAGCTTTCAATGCAGATTCTGCCAGTATTAGAATCAAAGGAATGATCATGTCACAGCAGCAAAACATTTCAGCAAGCAACATGCCACGAGGGGACTGATTCCCAGTTCACCACAGTATGTACCTCACTAATTCAAGGCTGCCAAAGTACTGTTGCCAAAAAATACTGTGTAATCTGTGCAGCTCCCATGATTCCAGTGGAACATCGTATTTGAGATAAGTGCAAACAACCAAAAATGGGAATATAACAAGGCAGCACAACCAGCTGAAACTCAAGAGTGTGTCGTGATGTGGAGGTCAGCAGTAAACAGTTGACATTGTTATGGCCCCTTTAAGAATCTGCTTTATAAAACACACTGTAAGAGCCATTCCATTTGTTGCAATTTATGGACACAATTGTTTGTATACTGAAAATACATTATTTTCTTCCTTTTCAGTTATCTCAGATTTAGCACTGGCTCCTGCAGTTAAAAACTATTATAGCAGGAGCTATTTCTGCTTGGATTACAGCCTCCTTGGTGTCGATTCAGAGGCAATGCCTATATCCACCTACATTCCTAACTCACCTCCTGCAAGCACCATATCAGCAGGTAAAACTTCACCTAACTTTCACATGCTTCTAGTTTGTAAAGAAAAAGGTACACCTTGTAGGGTACCACTGTACACACCAGGCTCTCAGCATCAGGGCCCCTTTGCTGCTCTTGTCCCTCTCACATCGCTCACCTAGCCAGTTCTCACACAGCTGAAAGTACTACATCTGGGCATGTACTAAGGCAGCATTTCTAAAGTCTTGTCTACAGCTGACCTACATCTTGAGCACCACCATCACTGTAGCTCTGGTTTTCAGTGCTAAGAAGTTCACCTGAAATAATCTGGTGAGTGCTGCAGGCGATGTGCAGAGTGCTGCGCAGTGTAGCACGTGTTTGTACACTGACTCACGGGGACGGTCCCTTTGCAGAGCAGGGAGGATGCATTGCATTGCTTACCCATCTCTGTTGTATGTTTTCCACATGAGGAAGGCTTCCAAGAAAATGCTCCTTTACTAAAATGTGGGAATACTGGAGTAGCATGCTCTTCATCGTTGTGTTATCTCTGGTTTAAAGGGATTGAAAAAAAAAGCAGCTTTAACAAGTAGTCTGTGGGGGAATCTGTAGGATGCATTCGGTTTTCCCATTTGTGAAATATTGTATAGATCTATTGTAAAGGAAACAGATGTTTCAGAAATGTATTTGCTTGTACTTTGGTATTATCAAATACTATATGATTTCTTTTTTTTAGAAAAAAAGTCATCTTTTTACCCAGTAAAAAGGAAAAAAAAAAATAAACTCTTGCTGGCCATGGAGTAAATATTTCCTATGTTCTTCTGTAGATGTGACTGCACATACTGTAAATAACTCTTTTGTGCAAACAGACCAAAACTGTTCAGATGAAGATACTAGCTGTGGTGGATTGCTTTTTGTAGTGTAAGAACACAAACTAGATACTATTTTGTTGCTAGTGTGATTGCAGTTCTTCCTCGGGCTACAGCCCTCAGAATTCCCACCCTAGCCGCATTACCTGGATGGTTTCCTGGGTTTTGAGCTCCCCCTTGTGAATTTTCTTTTCCTGTGGCATTATTTTAGGAGCCTGCATGCTTCAGCTCATACGGTTTAACACTCTAGTCCACAGGTTGTTCTCTGGAAATCTGCGGGAGAGGGAGCATTCGAAGGTATTCAGGGTGAGAAAGTGGGGCTGTTTCTCAGTTCACTGCAGTTGGCTCTGTGATAGTTTTGGTAGTTACCACTGATGAAGCAGCAGCAGTGCCAGAGAAGAGTGAAAGACAGGGAGACAAAAATAAAGGAGAAGGAAAAAAAAAAAAAAAAGAAAAGAAAGAGGTGACTGTGCTCAGGCTTTGATTTGAAAGCCTGCTAGAGCTACCTTGAAGGCTCCTCACTATGTCAGTTCAAAATGAACTGTAGGGGTGGGTTAACTCATACCAATAGGCTTTGAGCCAGCAGAGGTGTTGGCTATCTGCATCACTGTAATTTCACATCAAATCACGTGTTGTCTACCCCTTGCAGCTGGCTTAAAATCAGTTTGAAGGCACATAGCCACCATTAACCTTGTTATCTGTGTTGTGGCTAATTAGGCTACTAGTTATAACTTTACAAACTAATTTTTAGAGTGGCCTGTGTAACTTGGATATAAATTTCTGGTCTGGGGGTCCAACATGGCTGCACCAACTTCACGTTGAAAGTATGGACTTTGTAACTGTTACCATAAAGGAAAGGCCCAAACCTGTAGCTAATATGTCTAATTAAAAAAAGGCCCATCAGAGTCTTCATTCAACAGGTGAAGTATTGCAGAGCTTTACTGCAGACTGGCAAGCAGTTTGAAGGTGTGGTGGTTGGGTGAAGAACTAGAAGTAAACCCTGTAGAAGAAGAGAAGTGCAAGACTGTACAGCCTCTGCCAGGGTCCAGCGCTGGTGATACTGGGTGATTTTATTTTATTTTTTTTACATCCTTCAATAGTACAATTAGGTTATATAGATTAAAAATCTATAAATCTTGTAAATTCAGTTTATCACAATCACATCTGGGTTTAAATACTCTGCATATATTTATTTAGTAGCTAGAAGGAGTAATTAGAACAAAGGAACAAGCTGGGTCACTTTATACCTCTTTGATGTGGGATTTTGTTGCAATAAATTTAGATGTTTTTATGACAGCTTTTTGATTCCAGCACCAACTTGGATAGCAATAAATTTCATTTGCATAACAGTGGCAAAAAGAAGGGTGTTATCTGAAATAATAAGACACGTGCTGCTGTAAAACTACAAAGAAAGATGTAAATACCAAACATTTCAGCAGAGTAATATTTATTTGCATAGCCTATTTATTGTCATCTTATACACTGTTAACACTGGGATGAAGTCAATGATCTGAGGTAAGAACACCTGCCTGTTTTTTCTCTCTGAGTGCCATAATGCTGTCAGCTTGCATTAAAAGTATAAACTAGAAAACCCCAGATCAAGGTATTTACCTAACTTCTCAGGGACTACAGCTAGTAGTTATCCACCATTATGAGACCTGGTATGTATGAAATAATCTGATTTACCAGAATCAATGTTGCCAATGTTTTCCTTTGCATATTTCATGCTTCTTTGCCTCTGTACATATTATTGTGTTGTGTATTTATATGAGCTAGTAAGCAATAATTTATATGTCAAAATGGCCAAGCAATACAAGGTTAAAACTTGTAGAAGCAACTGTTATGTTTATCTTGCATTTTCCAGTGTTTTTTAATATTACTTTTCAAAATATAAAAACTACCTTAATGACGTTTGGGCTCTGTGCCTTCATGCCTACCACACATACTTATGGTTCCTATCTGGAATATTTTACTTCCAGTCATTCAGTTCCACAAATCCTCACTGCTTTGGTGAGGTAGATGCAGACTTGCATAGAGGCTCAGGAGCCTCACCCCCTTCAGAGCTGCTCATCTGTCTCTGGTCAGTGGAACTGGCCAGTACCAATGTTTTGAAGCAGGAATTATGTTAATGGGGTCTCAGCTGTGCCCTGTCATCACAGCACAGTCAAAGAGGGGCCCAAAGCCACCATGAGAAGCCCCTGTGGGCAAAGGGAGGAGTAAATCTATCTTCCTATCCCCTGGAGTCTGCTTATCGGCACTTGATCCTCTTACTGAGGACAGGAAATGCTTTCCCCTGTCATCAGTCATCCCTTATGGTGCTGTTTCCTCTCCCTCCTCTGGACTGGTCTGCAGCAGGGAAGGCAGAGCCCAGGATGGGCTGCAAGTTCACTGTACTGCAGCTGAGGTTTGCCCTGTCCTTTCCCCCTTTCCACTTGCAAACCCTGTGAACCTTCAAGACACACCTGGCTGTTTCAAACAAAAATAACACTTGGTACTTACAGCAAGATGCCTGTTCAAAGTGCTGTACAAATAGGCAGTGCTTAATCCTCTGAGTGCCTGCACCTTAAGCAGTGTGAAGCCTGACCTACAAAGGGTTTCTGCCAGTGTTAGTATAGAGGGGGTGAATTTTAACCTTCGTATTTAAAACAAATACAAGCCTAAATTGTTGACACATCTCTGTAATAATGTCTAAGCATACATTATAGGCAGACATCCTTTTCCAGATTCAGCTGTGTAGGCTGATGTGTGTATGGTCCCAGCTGTTTATCACTGTCCTTTCATTAGACATTTGCTTTCCACGGTGTAGCTCAGAAGATCAGGGGAGAATCTTCTAATCTGTTGCATGTATTAAGCCACATGTCTACATGCAGGCAGCTAACTTTGCACTAAAACATTCTACTTCCATCCATCATCAGCCTTGCTGGGAGATTTTCACAAGAAGCTAGAGTGATGATACCTTTAAGATGATTTGCAACTGGAAGAGTATAGAGCTGAGGATATCTCCCTTACAGTTCCAGCTGTGCTAGAAGATCCACAAGAAGAGGCTGCTGCACTACAAATACTGTCCCTTCAGACAATCTTGCTGAATTATTCGGACAAGATCTCCTCTATCCCTGTCCACCAAAAAGAAATTGATTGGCAAAGACCTGCAATTTAAGCTGCTCGATGGACTCAGTGAATTTTAACTGAAGTAATCAGACAGGCCTGTGATGAGCCATTCCTGTAGGAACTGTGTGACTGTCAGAGGCAGCAGGTGGGTACAGTTTGCTTTGGGGGCCAGCACAGCCCTCTATGCAAGAGTGGGTCTGACCTGCATGGGGACAACTGCTCTACCCTATGTAGATGTGATTAACTCTTCTCAGCGGGTAAAAACATTCAATCTGAAAAACAAACCTGCTGAATATTTGCTGTGTTTCACATCCCAGCAGGCTTTCATGCCACCCTGAGCATCTGCCCTGGAGTCCTGCTCTCTTCTGCCATGGAGGTGGTAGCTGTGTTACACACACAGTAAAACCCAAAGAAAGTAAGTCGTCCTCTGGTTCCAGACCTACAGTGATCACCATTTCATGCTGGAGACTTGTGTGATCGCACCCTACATGCATGGTTTCAATAATACTGTGAAATGTTTTTATTTTGTAGCAGAGTTAAAAGAACTGAGCAGTGTAGTTAATAAAATGTGGAGAACTGAGGAGGCCTGCAAAGGTGAACAAAAATGAACAATTATTGAAGCAAGGAGAGAAATGTTCTGCATTCCCTCTTGTCTGGAAGAATGTCTGTGAATTTCATGAGACCCTTGTAAAGGTCCAGAAAGACTATAAAAAGTGAGCTTGAGCAGCAGTCTAGCATCAGAACCTTTTAAAGGTCAATGAGTGGTAATGATACTGTCTGCACAATTTTAATTATCTCTGTCCGTTGCAGCAGTAAGCAGTTGCAGCTGGTGGTCTTTTCCCAGGAGGTCTGTATTACCACTTACTTGCATAGGTACAAAT